TCTGCCATATTTGAAGATTACATCCTTTCTAAAATAAAGCATATGATGGAAATTTTCAAAACCTTTGCATTTCTGAAAATGTCTCTATTCCTTCATAACATAATAAAAACTGGGCTGCAAAGTGAATTGTGTTGGAAACCATTTTTCTTGGTATTCTACTAGTATTCAAGGTTGGTACTACTATTTCCTATCTATGGCAGTTGAGCAGGCTGTTCTAATTCTCAATTCTCTGTGATTTTTTTTTCTTTTCATCTCTAAATTCTCAGTGTCCTTAAATTTTAGATGATATGTCTTAGCACACTCTTTTTTGTTGACTTTGTTGGGTACTTGCTCATAATCCTCTCACACAGGAACTTTGTGTCCTTCATTTCTGGTCAATTTTATTGGTTTTTTTTTTCCCATAATGTTCCTCTCTACTATTTTCTTTCTAGAACTTCCATTTTTCATATTAAGTAAGACTGAATCTCTAATTTTCTTTTTTCTCTGTTTTTTTAAAATCTATTATCTTTCATTTTACTTTTTTGAGCAGTATTCCTTGATGGTCTCATCATATTTTATTGAATTTTTATTTCTATCATGTTTGTAACTGGTAAGAGCTCTTTCTTATTCTCATTTATTTCTTTTGTTCATACCAATGACCTTGTTTCACAGTTATAATAGCTTCTTTTCTGCTCTGGGAACACAAATAAGTGTAAAATCTTCCTTTCTGAGCTTCTAAATTTGTTCATTCATTTTATTCTCTGTCCCTCATATTTCAAGTTTTTCTTAAACCTGTGCTGAAACTCTTGTCCATTCACAATTAAAACAGTGGAATGATAGTAGGAAGTTTTGTGCACCTGGGTAGGACTTACTGACTGACAGGATTTGGGAACCTAGTAGCAACTCAGGTTTGGTTGATGGATCTCAAATATAGGCTATATTAATATTAGACAAGCAAACTTTAGACTAAAAAGTATTACTAGAGATAAAAAGGCATAAAATATATCATAATTATTAAATATTTAATTCAGTAACTAAGGTAATTATAAATTTGTGCATTTCTATTAATACAGTCTTAAAATATACAAAGCAAAACCAATAAAACTAAAAGTAGAAAGTACATAAATTTAAAATCATAACTAAAGATTTTAATACATCTCTCTCATCTGATTGAACAGGTAGACAAAAATACTAGTAAATATATAGAAGATTTATGCAATACAATTAGCAACTCTATCCATCTATGTATATAACAATCACTGTAACTGACAACCATCAAATTTTTCAAATTCTTACAGAACATTTACCAAAACAGAGGAACTTTATTAAACACCAATAAAAAATAATTACTAGAAAATTCTCAAATAGTTAGAAAATAAAAGAAAATACACTTTACCAATAGATCAAAAATAAAATCACAATGAAAATTAAAATTATTTTGATTTAAATAACAAAATTCCTACCTAACCTGCACCCCTATCAAAACATGAAGGATACAATTAAAGTAGGAAATGCTTAAAAGAAATTTATAGCCTTAAGTACATATATTGGGGAAGGGGAGGCTTGGTTTCAATGACTTAAGGTTCTACATTAAAAAGATAGAAAAAGAAAAGTAAATTGACCCAAGCAAGGAAATAATAAAGACAGAAACTAATGAAATACAAAACAAGTATTCTACGTATTTGTTTTCAAAGCCAGAAATATTCAAATATTCACAGCCAGAAATTGGCTCTCTGAAAAATTAATAAGCCCCTAAGAGTACTTAACAATAAGTACCCTTGGAAGGTACAAACCTGACTATCAGGATGTTTAGAACAAGGACATAAGAGCCAGGAAGGGGAAGTGACTGGCATTCTAGTGTCTCAGAGGCACAAAAGAGAAAGCGGCTGGGGAAGAAGCCCACTTCAGTTAAGCCTGAAGATGTGAAGAACTTCAACTTGTAGTTCTTTAGGACATAATACTTCAAGAGTTTCTTTTCACCAATAAACAAAAGCAATATGGAAATTTAGCATTCATCCAGGACCTTAGGTGAAGAAGGAACAGCAAGAAAGTGAGGGAATGTCGGCAAAATACAAAAAACCCTACCAGCTTATTATATCCTACCCTATTGTGGATTTTAAATTAATACCACCTATAAGGTGGAAGAATCCCAAGTCATGAAATTAATATAATGCCTGGTCTAAAACCACTGAAATGCCAATGGCTCCAGCAGAAGTAAACTTGAAACTATTCAACGGCTCTGCAGAACTCATAGGGCTTTCCACCTGTGTGTGTGTGTGTGTGTGTGTGTGTGTGTGTAGGGTATCACTGAAAATGAATGCACAATCATAAATTACAAACACATGAACAATCCAGCAATTTCAATGAACAATTTATCCTACATCTAGTAAATAATAGTAGAAATAACAGAACTAATCTAAAAGAGACTATAAAATAAATTTAATATTACCATAAAGATAAAAGGAGAAAATGAAAACATACTGAAAGAAACCAGATAAGTATGTATAAAAAGAGCTGGTAGAATATGAATTATTAAAAATAATCAAATATAAATTTTTCAGATAAAATATAGTCACTAAAAATAAACAAGTTAACGATCATATTAAATACAGTTAAAAAAGAGTTTAATGAACTACAGGAGGTCTGAATGCAACATAAAGGGAAGAAAAAAAGGAAAGGGCAATAGCCATACAACACTCACACAAGCCTATTGGGACAGCATGAACTGGGGTGAAGGCATGTGGTGGCAGCACCAGCAGCAGGTATGCAGGTACCCTGATGCCTTTGACATTCTCATGCAGCATGAAGCTATCTGGCAAGACTGCATGTGAGTGAGAAAGGGATCCTAATTTCTTGGGTCATGATGCTTTTAAGTGACATGATTAGGAAAGAAGTACACCCCTGCCTGTGTGATTAGTGGCAGGGATATAATCACAATGTGATGTGTAGAATCTTCAATCTAATAGGTCAGAAATTTGTGCCTATTGCTACCCTGTGAGCTTAATACTATTGGCTGAGGTAGCTCCCCTGCCTCCCATGATCTGGAAGATGACTCCCAGACTTGCAGATGTGGCTACAACTTAGGGTTAATATAGTGGTAGACTCTTCCATGTCAATATATGTCTTAGAAATCAAGACTCATTTCTGACATAACAAGGACCTGGGCAGGATGGGGACAAGCTTTGCAAGAAGCCCAGTCCATTTCTGAGCACATGGCTTACAGAGACTCAAACTCGAACAAGTTAATTTCACTCTTACACAGCACTTAAGGAATACTCACGTGGCATTATCCGACAAAGTTAGAATAAAAGTTCTGAGAAAAGAACATATTCGTGAGAAACAATCCATGAAGAAAAAATGGTAGAGAATTTTTCAAAATTACAGACTTAAGTCCTCAAATTGAAAATGCATATTACATTCCAAAACAGATAAATAAAAACAAGTCTATGCCTAGAAATTTCAAAATGAAAATGTGGTACATCAAAGACAGAAATATAAATTTAAGAGCAACCAGAAAGAAAAGACAAATAACCAAAAAAGAAATGATATTATGCCAACATGAGACTTCTGTGGTGACTAGTCTCCATAGATGTGGCCCAGTGATTTTCCCCTTCCCTATGAGCAGAGAACATGATGCTTCTCTCTTCAGGAGTTCTAGCTGCCCTTGACTCTGGACTAGCCTCTATTCTGACCAGCAGAATGCAACAGAGGTGACAGCTGAGACTTGAGTCTAGGCCTTCCGAGGGTGAATTGCACTTTTATGTTCTTGCAACTTGTTTGTTACTGCAAGATTCACAACACCATGCTAGGAGAAGCCAAAACCACACAAAGTAGCCATGTGGATGAGAAGAATCAACAGACCCAGGTAAGATTCTAACCACAACCAGCACCAACTGCCAGGCATGCGAACATGACATCTTTGAAGTTCCACTAAATCAATTCTCTAGATAACTGCAGTCCCAACCAACATCAAAAGGAGAAACCACCCAACTGAGGCCAGGCAACTTGCACAATTATGACATATAGCATAATGGCTGATGTTTTAAATCACTAAGTTTCATGTAATTTTTAAACATGAGTAGAAAATGAAAACATTTCTCAGTAGCAATAGCAGGTATCAGAAGATGATGAAAAAATATCTTTTAAATGCTGAGGAAAAATTAAAGCTCAACATAGAATTCCAAAATCAACTTGATATCCTTTTAGAGTAAGATCAGAATACATTTTTAGACAAAGAGTGGAAGTTCCTCATTAATTCATCCTTGTAGAAAGAAATGCTACTGAAGGACATGTGATTTATAAATATGTTAGTAAATCTGAATAAACACTGACTTGGTTAAAAATAAGATAAACTAACAATATTAAAAAGTTTCTTATTTGTAAACTAACAACTATAATTTACATTTTGAGATTTTAAACTGGTACTTAAGATGACATTAGCATGCAGAAAATGATCTAAAGAACAGCCAACATGTATGGAAGCATCCTTAAGAGCATACACTGACAATTTATCAAATTTTCACCTCTTCTTCCCCACACATAATCCTCCCATCCTGCCACACCCGAGAAGGTCTCACTCCCAGTCATCAGGAGATTAGAAAAGGGGTATTTTTAACAGAGGAAAATGAAAGAGGACATCAAAACAAGAGAACTCCCCTGACAGAGAGACAAAAGAACTCTCCTGGACCCAGAAACAGCATCTGTTGCCTGACTATCTTATTCTGACATTTTATGTGCTTTGTCACAATCAGAAATCATGTTATGAACATGAAATATGAAGGATGAAGTTATGACAAAAAAAGCATCTTACACAAAAAACTTGAAGCAAAGAACTCCTTGTAACTATATGAACTATTAATTTTCTCCTCCTATCTCATTGTTAAAATACAAATTTTAATGTACTTAAAATTTTCAGAGTCCCAAATGTAAAGAAAAGAAATAACACTCAATTTTCAATTAACAAACTCATATTAGAAAGTGATCAATTATTTTAAAGAAGGCTTATATCAAGCAATACTTACTTTAACAGCAAATTTCTTAGATGCCATGGCTTACAAATTCTCCACAGCAATTATAGGACCTTTAAGAGAAGAGAAAAGAAACTCATAATTACATAAGCTTTCTTTTTATTTGAACATCTTATAAGAAAAACTGACTGAATAAATAAAACATCATACGTGTTTGAAAAATGAATATTCTCTTATAAATGTCCTTAACCAAAATACTATGTTGAATTAGTAACTTAAAAACTGCTCACAAAGAAAAGCACAAACCTAGATAGCCTCCATGGAGTAATTTACCAAGTGGTTAAAGAAATAATTTTGAACCTTTAAAAGGTTTAATTCTATTAAAAAATAGAATTCTATTAAAAAATTCTTTTAAAAAATAGAATCATGAGGAAAACTCCTCAAATCAAATTGGTAGAAGAGACTAGTCTTGTACCAATACCACACCAGATAAAGATGTAAGAAAACTACATTAATATCCCTTATGAAGACACAAAAATCCTCAACAAATATTAATAAGCCAACATATAAAAAACATATAAAAAAGATTAGGCCCTAAGAACAAATTGGATTTAACCGAGGAATGAAAGGATGTTTTGATACGTGTAAATAAACATATGATATATTTATGGAATAAAGGGGGTAAATGCACATGATCATCTCAAACACAAAATAATTATAAAAAACAAAACCCAAAACACTATTTAAAAAAAAAAATTTTAAGTACTGGGGATTGAACCCAAGGGTACTCTAGTATTGAGTACATTTCCAGCTCTTTTTATTTTTTGTTTTGAGATGGGGGTCTTGCTAAATTGCCCAAGCTGACTTTGAACTTGCAATCCTCTTGTTTCAGTCTCCAGAGTTGTGGGATTTCAGGCATGTACCACTGCAATGGACTCCAAAACACTCTTTTCATTTACACAAACACTCACACACAATAAGAATACAAGGGTATTCTGCATCCTGATTAAAGACATCTATGAAAAACTCACAGCTAAAATCATACTTAATGATAAATGACTAAATGTTTTCTCCCATTAAGACAAGGAAAGACAAAAATATCTGTGCTCTTGCCATTTTTATCCAACACTGTACTAGGGTTCTGGCCAAGGAAATCAGACAAGAAAGAGAAATAAAGGGCATCCAAGTTAGGAAGAAAGAGATAAACCTATTTTATTTCCAAATAACATGTTCTTATATAGAGAAAACATCAATGAACTATTAAAAAAACTATTAGAATTAATAAACTCAGGAAGGTATAAGATGATATCTCACAGTAGTTTCCATTTGCATTTCTTTGATGGGTAATGATGATAAGCATCTTTTCATGTATTTATCTGCCAGTTTTATATTTTCTTATTCTTTTTGGTTTGAAGTATGAAAACTTTTAATTTCAATGAAATCCAATTTACTATTTTTTTATTTGTCATATGTGCTTTGGTATCATATCTAAGAAACTATTGTCTAATGCAAGGTCACACAATTTATACCTATGTTTTCTTGTTTAGTTTTAGGTTTCTATTTTATTTTGAGTTAATTTTTGTATGTAGTGTCATATAAGGGACCAGGTTTATTATTTTGCACGTGATATCCACTTTTCCTAGCGCCATTTATTGAATTTCCACTTCAAATTGTATTCACACTCTTGCTGAAAATCAGTTGTTTAAAATCAGTTGTCAATAAATGAGATGCCATTTTTGGAGTCTTGATTTTATTCCATTGATCTGAATGTCCATTCTTATGCTAGTGCCACATGGGTTTGATTGCTTTAGCTTTGTGTTAAGTTTTTAAAAGGAGAACGTGTGAGTCTTTTTCAGTATTGTTTTGGCTACTCCAGATCCCTTGCATTTTCATATACAATGTAAGATAAGTTTATCAATTTCTATAAACTCAGCTGGAATTGTGATACAATTGTTCTGAACCTGTAAATCAGTTTGATAAATATTGCTGCCTTAACAGTATTAAGTTGTTCTAATCCATGAATATGGGATGTTGTCTCATTTCCTTGTCTTTAATTTCTCTCAGTAATTTTTTGAAGTTTTTTTTTTTTTTTTCCTTTTTCAGTACTAGAGATTGAGCTTAGGGACACTTACCGCTAAGTAACCCCAGTCCTTTTTATTTATTTACTTACTTATTTTTGAGACAGGCTTCTGCTAAATGGCCCATGCTGGACTTGAACTTGTGATTCTCCTGCGTCAGCTTCTTGAATAGCTGGGATTTACAGGTATATGCCACTATGCCCAGCTCCAATAATGTTTTATGACTTTTGGTATGTAAATATTGTACCTATTTTGCTGTTTGTATTCCTAAGCAATCTTTTTCATGCTGTTGTAAATGGAATTGTTTTCTTAATTTTATTTTAGGATTCTTCCTTGATGGTATATAGAATTACCGGTGAATTTAAAAATATTGATTTTATATCTTTAAAAAGTTAGATGATCCAAGATTTCCATTCCCACGTATGTACCCAACAAAAGTAAAAATATTATGTCCAATTTACATAGGAATGTTCATAGTAGCATAATTACAATAAACAAATTGAAAACAAACCAAATGTCAATCAATAATGAATGAATAAACAAAACATGTTATATCTCCACAATCAAATTTTATTTGGCAATAAAAAGATAAGTACATCCTTTATTGTGTTCTGTCAGAGGCTCTCTGGACTGGAAAACAATAGACATAGTAGAAGGTAGGGCTACCTTACTAAAAGAAAAGTATTCGGAAATATTTACAGAGGGAGACCTTTCCCAGCCCACATGCCACTCTATCCTGCCTAGATACTCCAGATGGGAAACTGAAATCTCCTCATTCAGGAACTGGACTGAACTAAAGGCAGGATCTAAAAATACTGACATCAGGGGTTCCCCAATGAAACAGCCTAGACAGATGGCTCTAAAGTGAAGTCCACAACCACAAGCCCCACACCCATATACAGAAATTCTAGTCATCATTTTCATGTCCCATTCTCTAATACAAATAAACAACCAGGAATCACCTATCATGTAAGGCAAAATATAGTCATTTTCTGCCAAACAAGCAGAAAATATTACTTGCTAAAATGGAGACTGTGAAGGAAGAAACATTTTCTTTATGCTATTGTTAGGAAGATTTTAAAAAATGACATAAATGAAGCCAAAAATTACTTTTAAAAAAGAAAACTTGTGGAAAAATGACAAATTAAAAGTATGAAAGCTGAAATTTTAAAAAAAAATTTACTTGAAGAGTTGGAAGTTCAAGTTGAGTAAATCTCTCAGAAACTTCAACAAAATTGAAAAAGATGAAAAATAAGAAAATAAATTAAAGGACCAGTATAGGAGGAGTGGCACATAAAATTCAGGATGAAAACAGACCCACATTTGGGCATATATCAGTGAAATTCTAGACACTAGGGACAAATCTTACAAATTTGAGGGGTGGGTGGGGACAGAAAGCAGAGAATACAATGGATCAGGTGTCAGAATTGGCTCCAAATTGCCCAAAGCAACTCTGGAAGCTAAAAGCCTATGGAGAAATAACTTCAAGAGTCTAAAAAAAAATTGTTTCCAAGCTCCAACTGCATTTAAACATAAGAGAAGAAAAAAAAACATTTTTAGACATGCAAGGTCTTTAAAAATGTTATGTCCCCTGCATCCCTTCTCAGGAAGCTACCAAAGATGTGCTGCACCAAAATGAGGAAATTAACCAAAAAAGAGGAAGATGTAGGAAATAGGAAGGCCAAGATAGAAGAAGACTTGAGGAAAACCTAGGATCCTAAAAGGAGATCCCTGCATGAGAGCTGTGGGGACAGGCAGAACCACTGGAACAGGACATTGCAAGGTTCCAGGAGTGGTTCCTGAAATGTATGCATAGATGCTGACGAATTTGAGGCGATTAGCAGAGAACATGAACTGGAGTTCCTTAGGAAAGTTCCATGGAAAGCTACGTAAATGAGAAATAACTAGGCAATTACTGATCCCAGGATAAACGAGATCCCTGCCCAAAATAGTTAACACACAATTATGACCAGCATTTATAGTCATAATAGCAAATACTGAATCTTGCCCTAAAATATTATATTTATGACATTAGAAGAAAGGGGAATGTGTGTGTATGAGTGGATGTAGGTAGTGGAGGCACAGGAATTAAAGGAAACAAAAGCTCCTTCTAATGTTCATTAAGATCAATAATATTAACAACAGCAGTTATGATAGCAGAAATATGGCCAAATAATTTAGAGTTAAATGAAAACCCAATTATTAAGTTAAACTTGGCCCCAACCTGAAGAACAAGATAAAGTAAGCTAACACAGAGGAAGGAAGGAGTGAGATGGATGACATCATTCATAAGCCTTGTGCCTGGGACTATTTGCCTGTTGAAATGTTGTGTATACAGCTGAGGATGTAACTCAGTAGCAGAGTGCTTGCATAGTATGTGTGTCCCTGGGTTCAATCTGCAGTATAGGAAAAAAATTGTTCACAGATACTTTTCCAGCAACACTGTCCTACTGAAATATAATGCAAGCCACAAATGTAATTTTAAGTTTCTTAATAGATGTACCTAATAAACACGTGAAATTGACGTCAATAATATTTTAATCCAATATAACATATTAGCATTTTGACATGTGATTAATATAAAAAATTTACATTCTTATCATTTTAACCAAGTGTTTATTTTTTTATTGGTTATTCAAAACATTAACCAAGTGTTTCAAATAGGGTATTTTATATTTCTAGCATGTCTGTTTGAACCAGCCATATTTCAAGTGCCCAGTAGCCACTCGTGGTTTGTGATTATCATGTAATGAACAGTTTGAGAGTGTGTGGGTTTTTTTTTTTTAAATTGAGAAAAGCACTTATTTCTGTATCCTGAATGATTTATGAAACATATTATTTATCAGTAACATTTAACTCAGAATTATTGAAAGGACTAATAAAATGACATATAGGGCAGAGGATACAGCTTATATATGAAGCCACAGGTACCAAAAAAAAAAAAAAAGAGAGAGAGAGAGACATATAAAAACACTCAATATGTTGATTTATAAACAGTAGACTTCCTATGAGCATTAACAATTACTATTATTTAG